TCGTGGCTAAGAAAGAACTGAGCCGAAAAGCAAAGCTCTCGATCTATTGGTCCATCTTCGTCCCTACCCTCACCTATGGTCATGAGCTATAGGTAATGACCGAAAGAATGAGATCGCGAATACAGGTGGCCGAAATGAGGTTTTTCCGCAGGGTGTCTGGGCTCTCCCTTAGGGATAGGGTGAGAAGTTCGGATATCCGGGAGGGCCTCAGAGTAGAACCGCTGCTTCTTCACGTCGAAAGGAGCCAGTTGAGGTGGTTTGAACATCTGGTTCGGATGCCTCCTGGGCGGCTACCCGGAGAGGTTTTCCATGCATGTCCTACAGGGAGGAGGCCCCGGGGCAGACCCAGGACTCACTGGAGGGATTATATCTCTCGGCTGACCTGGGAATGCCTCAGTGTCCTCCCCGAGGAGCTGGTAGAGGTAGCTGGGGAGAGGGAGGTCTGAGTATCTCTCCTGAAGCTGCTACCCCTGTGACCCGGACCTCGGACAAGCGGCAGATAATGGATGGATGGATGGAATATTGTTTGCGATGTTGATGAAAACATGTGGCCTAATTTCAGAGATTGAAGCGATCAGGCAGAGCAAATCACATGGCTTTTTTCTTTTATCATGTGGCAAATTTATTTTCTTGATATTCGTGTTTGCATAAATAGCCAATAAACCCACTTTACCTGCAGAGAAGACGTGTTCTCATTTTTGTATGTTGTTGCTCCCTCTGTGTGTGTAGTGATTTTACTGCAGTGAGCATTTTGTCTGAGAGTGTTCACTGATTGCTTGTATTGTATGTGTCTCCTGTTTGACTGATGTGCCTTACTGTTTGAGTTATGCAATTTTGCAATAGCTATTTAGTGTTTTAATTCACGTAGAGTGTTTTGCAGGGAAAATGGGGAGTTCTGCCAGATTTGTTAGTGTTATGCAGGCTGCATGGGCTGATTTGAGAATGTGGTTATTGTTCTGAAAAAAAGCAGGTTTGAGAAAAGCGCCTGAGAAAAACTGTAATCGGAAGGGCATACATCACACTGCTGAAAGTATGGCCCAGGTTACATCAGAATCAGAATCGCGTTTATTGGCCAAGTACAGTATGTGAGCGAACACATACAGTACAAGGAATTTAATTATTCCAGTCGATGGTGTCTCTCAAGCACAACAGTATAAAAACAACAATATGTAAAGTCACAATCTAAATCTTATATACAGAAAATACAAAGATTATATATATATATATACCACAGAGTTTACATAAAGTGCAGTTGTTACTTTCCCCTCTTCCTCTCCTGCACCTCTTCTATCCTCTCCTCCCAAGGCACAGTTAAACATTATATCATAATAAGTGTCAATACCAGCTATTATGGAAAAAAAGTGATATCGGCCAACCCTACAAATGAGCAAGGCTGATGTCTAAAAAAGAATTATATGAATACAAAATTTAAACATGTATGGCAAAATGAAAGCCTTTGCAGTCTTATTTGTAATTTGTTTCAGGATTACAACAGTGTAAAGTACAATTGCTTCTTAGATCCTATAATTCTCAACAATCCTTATTATATTACAAAATCCATAAGGTGTCATTAAAATGGTTTGTACAGTTCCTATGCAGAAACTGTAGGAAAGATGTTTGACTAATGTAGTCCGCTGTCATTGCTGCTGTACAGTGCTGTAGATGGTGGTTGCATTGATGGAAGCGGGGGGCACCTCACAGATTGT